CGAGGGACGTGCCTTCGTTCTCTGCTCGGCGCTTGTGAGGGGTACCCTCCCCAAGGGTGCACAGCCACTCTCCAGTCCCTGCAAGCTGCCCTGTTGCCCTGGCTAGGGAGGCTGAGTGCAGAGGAGGGGTGTGTGGAGCAGGCCAGACCAGCAGCCCACGAGCTCCTCCATCTAGAGGGGAGTGCCCACCCCAGACGGATGCTTTCATGATAACGACGCACCCTGGGGAGGCGCCTTATTGCTCTGCACAGAAACAATCTCCACGGAGAGAAATTAATTGTTTTGCTGTTGATGGAAGAAAAATGGAAGAAGCTATTTTTAAATGCTCTTCCTACTTGGGCTCATTGGGAGGACAGGTCACAGGTGTCTGTCTCAAGACCTCCTCGTCCTGCAAGGGTGTGGCTGCCCTCCCATGGGTGACTTCTGCTTGGGCCCAGCTGGGGGAGTAGGCCCTGTTGGGTTAAGGTCCAGGCAGGCAGCGCCAACCAGGGAGGGAACCTGAGTGCGAGTCCCAGCTCTATTACCTACTAACTGTATGTTCCTTGCACCTCAGTTTCCTGATCTGGACAATGTTTTCTTCTGGGATGGTTGTGAGGCTTAAATGAGATAATATGTGTCCAGTGTGTGGCTTGCAATGTAGCAGGTGCCCAGTAACTAATAGTAGGAGCTGGCTGCACGGGAAGACTTAGCAGCTGGTGGACTCGAAACTTTCCTGTGGGAAGATCTACTGCTGGGCCCTGCCTGTACACTTGATCCCTCCAGTGCATGAGTCCTCAGTCCTTCGGTCCTTTGGTCCTTTGGTCCTGACAGGCCTCCGTCACTCACCTCGTACGTCCCTCTGCTTATTGCTACATCTGACCGGGCTCATCTTTCCCCTTTGCCTTGTCATCTTTAGCTGAGCTACTGTGGGTGATTGTTGGACTTCCTGTCACACCAAGCACAGCAAGAACCCTCTTCTGGGGCTGCTCCATAAACAGCAGACCTGTACTCACAGATGCATCCTAATAGGGCCTGACAGCATCGTTACTATTTCCAGAGCATCTGGGAGATAACAACTTTTATAGGAAGGACTTTAATTAGTGCTCTGGCTAAACATGGTGAAATTAACATGGGTAAGGTTGGCCAGACACTACTTTCTGGAAGATGACCCTGGCCAGAGATGGGGCTATGTGTATCACCTGGTCCCCAACATTAATGAGTATTAGGATGGTCTTAGTTACTTTTCTTGCTACTGAGACAAAATACCCAACACCCAAAGTTAAAAGAGAAAAGGTTTATCGTAGCTCATAGTTTGTAGAGGTTTCAGCCCATAGGTGGCTGGCTCCAAGGCAGAGTGGCATGGCAGAGGGGCTTCACAGAGGAGAGACAGTTTATAGCATGGCAGGGCAGGCAGAAGACAGTGAGCAGCAGAATCAGCCACTGCCTTCTTCTATCCTTTTATATTCAGTCCAGATTGCAAGCTTATTGATTCGTGCCACTCACACCCAGGGTGGGGGCCCTTAATCCTAGCATCACGCCCTTAAACCCAGAATCATATCTTTACACACAGTATCACACCCTTATGCACATTCACACACCCTAATTCAGATTCTTCCTAAAAGCCCCACTGCAGGAGGCTTTGGGGCGACATTCAAGCCATAACAGGAACTGAGAGCCGCATGGAGGAAGACCATCACAAGGACCAGATCAGAGCCCTGTGCTCAGAAGTGCCTAAGCTTGGTGCAGGGCTCTGCTCCTGTCATCTTGAGATTCTCATAATTTAACCTTGCAGCTGCAGCCTGGGAAGTGAAATCCTATGGGACACCAGAGTCTTGGGTCCGCAGCAGAGGCACAATATGTGTATCTGCCTTTCTTTGCCACTGAAAGAAATTCTGTGTTCTTGGTGGCCCATGAACACAGAATTCTGGTAGACGTACCACGCAAGTGTATGGGCATTCAGCAAGCCTGTAAGTGAGCACAAGGCAAGATGTTCCACAGCCATCTTAGTGGGAAGCTGACCGCTCTCCAGGAGGCCATGCTTTGCTTTTGAGCCAGAACTCTGAACAGGAAGAAGGCTGTTGATGCCCAAAGGAGCACAAATGACCAAAAGACCCTTTCACATCCTTTCCTATCAGTGTTACTTTCCTACGTCAGCCAACCGCTTGTGCTGAAGACCATGGTGTAGGAGAAAGAGAAAGCCAAAGCATCTCACCATCCCAGTGGAAGGTAGAGTGTGTGGGTAGAAGGCGCATGCATCAAGGGGTGAAATAAAGCAGTGGGTTAGTTCTGGTTTGTTCTGTGCAGTATCCCCACTGTTCCAAATGAAGCGTACATGCTACGCAAGAAATTGTGTAACTTTGGCAACCCTGCCTATGAGTTAAATCCTCTTATATACGTATTTGAATCAGGCATGGCTCAATATAAAGAGTAACAGTAAAATCATGCTAATAATGTAAAGTTTTTATTTTTCTTTATTCAGAGTGACATTAAATAGCAATTTGAAAACACTGAAACAAGTCAAGAGAAAGACAGTTGAAGAAAGAAAAGTGCTTTGTTTTTCAGCACCCCTGATGGCATACTTTCTCTGCTTTATGAGCCAGGGACCCATGTTTTGTTCTTCACTGGGTCTTGGCTGGCAGCTATCCCTGTGTGTGGGACCCCAGTGGGATTTGTAAAAGTATGAATCTGCAGCAACCTCACGAGACAAGAAAGTCAGTAGTAGAATAATGATAAAAGTAGTAATAGCTTGTCCCCATGTTTACGATGAGTCAGGCACCACCCTTGGGAATTTCCATGAATTTTTTCACTTAATCCTAAAGCCCCACAGGTGTGTGCCTTCGTGATGCCCACTTCACACATGCAGACACTCAAGTCCAGACAGGTAACGGAACGCAGTCAGGAAGGGCAGAGCTCGTGTTTAGAGCCCAGTCAAAGTCCAGAGCCCAGTCAAAGTCCAGAGCCAGCGTTCCTGGCTCCTTGTTACTCTGCTGCCCTCATTTTGCCCATGTAATCAGATCGGGAAACTGAGGCTCAGAAGCACAGCCCAGAGTGGGACAAATAGCAGGCCGGGGACTCGGTCTCCAACTTATAGCTCGCACCCTGCTGTTTTTGCCCTGGGGTGTGTGGCTCTGCCCAGGCTGGTGGCGCTGTCCTTTTTCCTGCCAGGAACACCCTCATCTGTCCCCATGAGCTCCGGTTTTCACACTGATACCCTGGAGAGAACTTTGTTCCTCATTGCTTTCTAAGTGAAGACTGAGGACCACACATAGCTGTACTCACACCCATACTGGTGCCTTCACATGCACAGTGACACCCCAACACACAGCATGCAAGGAGGCCAGCGTGTGGACACTTGCGCACAGGTGGGCACGGACATACACATGCTCTGAGTTACGCACAGAAGCGCATGGAGCTGTATGTAAGCTAATGCTGCTCAGATGTATAACACACAGATGTGCACAAGTGTGTGAACACACACACAAATGCACATACACACACATACATCACATGCATCTGCACTGCTCAGACAGACCTGTGTATCCAGACATCCACAGGCATGAGCTAAGGGCACACAGGCTCACACACATGCACACACACATGAGGGTACAGGCAGCTTGAAAAAATGTTTGTGAACACCACAACAGATGCACGGCCCCTCCTGACTGTGATGGAATACACAGTAATCACAATCATAGAACCACAACTCCAGGTGTTGACCTGTACCCACCATGCTCCGAGACAAAGTCAGGAGGCCTACGGGGTCTTTGCTCAAAAGAACATCCTTGTAGGGTAGAGGGAACTAAAGCAGGAGACAGGGTTGTGGGGCAGGAAATGAGGGGGGGTCATGAGGAACCCCAAATTGGGTGGCTTATTTGTGGGCATATGTTTGTTGTGTGTTTAGGATAAACGCACTCCTGGAAATCACAAATAACAAAGTGATTGTATCTATGCCGTGTGCTGGCTTCTTCGTCCCTCGTGGCCCCTTAAAGAGCTTCCCTCTGGGTGGGAAAGGGAACACCTAGCTGCAAACCAATGGCAGACCTGAGCTCGCCACAAATGCAAGACAGAATGGAGAGATCGGGGGGCTCGAGGCCATCAGGAGGCTTGGTCAGTGCAGTGAGGCTCAGCACACCGCTCCTGATCGCTCTTTCCTCTGCCCCTCCTTCATGGTGACTGGCCCAGCTGGAGCAGATATGCTTGGGGAACCCATATTGCAACCTTTGAGTAGTGTGTCCTTACTTAGCTCCTTTGTGGGTTCCATTCTCACCCTTGTCACCCAGATGGAGAAACTGAGTCTCATAAGGAGGAGGAGGAGTGGTGGCTTCCATTCCAGGGGCCTCTGGTGCCTGGGTGCACCTCTCAGTCACCTGCGTTCCTCTGTGAGGTCGGAGGCATCATTTGCCCTCTCACCTACAAAAACAGCTTCAAGGGAAGGGAGTCCAGGGCATCTGGGGCAGGCTTGAGGGAGGCAGGTGCTCTGCAAGCCATCTGTGCTGAGCTGGAACCCAGCCCCGGCTCCCTATGCAGTGCCACCCTGGTGTATCACTTCTGCATCTGCGTCTCAGAGCCCTTGCCTGTGAAATGGGTATAAATAGTGGATGAAATCTAGCAGGCCCCTGTCTCACACAGAGACCACTCCACTTTAAGTGTCCAGCAAATGTCAATGTCCCCATTGTTATTGTTATAACATTTTTGCTGTCTGACCCAGGGTGATGTCAGCATTGGAAAATGAGGGTGAGAAGCCTGTGTTGCAGGAATGGAAAGGAGGATGCTGAGCCCAGGAGCATGGATCGCAGTGGCCAACTGGGCCAATCTTTGTGACTCCCA